TTCTTTTTCCTTTCTCTTTCCTTCCAATTGTTTTCTCGCTCCCCCCCCCTCGTCCGTATCCTTCTTTATTTCTTTCATTCAATCTCTCTCCCATTTCCTTTGTCATTCGCCTATCGCATTTTTCAAATACTGTATATCTCTTCTCTATTTTTCTTTTGCTCTATTTCACTCTTTTCTCACTCTATCACTCTCTCTGCTCTTCTTTTACTCTCTCTCTCTCTCTTAGTTTTTACTCTCCCTATTTGTTCACGTTCTTTCTCTCTCTCCCTTTCTCTCTTTCTGTCCTTCTCTATCTTTTCTCTCATTCTTTCTCCCTCAGATTTTGTTCTTTCTTTCTCTCTCCTATTCTCTTCTTTCTGTCTTTTGTTTCTTACTATTTGTTCTCGTTCTTACTCCTTCGTTCTCTTATATGAACGACTAAATACTTTCACTCTCTATTTCTCCACTAGATTATCTCTCTCTCTCTCTCTCTCTCTCTCTCTCTCTATCTATCTATCTATCTATCTATCTGCTTACTCGTCCTTCCACTCTATATCACTTCTCTCAACTTCTAACAGTAACGCAAACTCTTTCCGTATCTTTTCTTCTGTCTCTGTCTCTGTCTGTCTCTCTCTCTCTCTCTCTCTTTCATCTCTCGGTCACACATATATACAATCTTTCCCCTCTCTCTCTCTCTCTCTCTCTCTCTCTCTCTCTCTCTCCTCGTCACCCTCTCTATTATTGTCTTACTTGTATTACCTAAGCTATGAATACATATTTACAGTCTGATCCCAGGCAGGTGCGCAAACATCCGTCCGTGCCCGAAATGCGACCCTCCTCGGCTTTTTATAACATCCACCCGGTGTACCCTAACTAGTACCAGGCTCTTGCTGTGTACTTGCTCCGCTCCTGCTCAGGTGACGTAGGGACGGGGGATTACGACCCGAAACATGGCCCAGATTAACGCCTAATCTCCTAGCTAATTGCTAACTTGTGGGCTTACTGCGTAAGGTTGACTGGTATGTCCAGATTTTTACAATTTAAAAGGGAAAAGGATAAAAAGAACGGGTTCGAATCGGCCAACAGGAAAAGAAAAACAACCGGAATTATAGCGGCGACAGTTTTTCATACAAACTCAAACTTCTGAACATGATATATATATATATATATATATATATATATATATATATTACAATAAACGTGCAATCAATTTACAAATACATGAATTATTCACACAAAACTAATGCAAAGGTTAATGATTTAAATGGCGAGACATCCATCTCGCAAACAATTCAAATAGTACACAAAAACCTCCAGATCCGTTATGAATGAATTGATCCTTGTTTATATAAATTTCTGCCGTATTAGTTGTTATTTTTACTACAAGCTTTCGTCTGTTCCTACAGACATCTTCAGGTATATAATAGATGTTGTTCTTGTTTTTTTCTCTTAGTAATAAGAGGACATCGAAAATATATGTGTATTGTATCCGAAATGCTATTGAAAATGAGTTATTGGTTTTTTGAACGCGCCAAAGCAACGCTGAGTTTGATTTAAAAAAATTTAAAGTGTTTGCGTTTATACCAAATATGGTGATGAACAAATTATTTTACTGGTAAATTTTACTGTCAAAGTGGCATGAACTATATTGTTCAATAATTACAGTAATGTCGCACTTATTATCCAAAAGTCGCACATGGATCAGTTATTTAAATTACAATAAACGTGCAATCAATTTACAAATACATGAATTATTATTTTTGTGTACTATTGAATTGTTTGCGAGATGGATGTCTCGCCATTTAAATCATTAACCTTTGCATTAGTTTTTGTGAATAATTCATATATATATATATATATATATATATATATATATATATATATATATATATATATATAAAAAACAAATCATCAGACCACAATATATATAAACGTAATCTTCATGGCATGATGGCCTGAAGATTGCGTATAAGCATAAGCAGACACTCGCCGCTGGGTATTGATCTCAATATCCATTTTATATTTACATACGCTCTATCTCCGAAGCCATATATATATATATATATATATATATATATATATATATATATATCTTAAAACTATATTTTGATCATATATGGTGTAACAGCAAAATTGTACATTTATTAGATTAAGCTCTGAAACGTTGTATCTTAGAAATGATTAAAGATATCTTACTGGAATTCTCCGACATTTTTATAACACTAATGGACTCTACTTTGAGCAATAACAATGTATAATTACTCTTCAAGCTTAACAGAAAAATCGTGATTAAATCGATCATAAACGAAAATGACATGCTGATCATTAATTAATCATAGCTAAGGATCAGATGCTCATGAAGGATTGAAATAAAGTTCAAATATATATATATATATATATATATATATATATATATATATATATTATTTTTCAGGATCATTTTCCAACTTATTCAAAATGTTCTTCGCCCTCTCTAACCTTTTAACTTTCTGTCCCAGAGTAACAAGGTGCCTTACATGTTTCACGTGCGATTTGATTTTCAAGTCTTTTTTCACTGCTATTTGGACTGTCATAGATGAAACTTCTCTTTCGCGTGAATTGAGTTGGATCTTTTCTAATTGATCTCTTTTGCTCTAAGCTGAAATGATGATCCCTCTTTCTGTCGTGACCTCCTGATCCAGTTTTCCTTTCTACTGTTACCTCTTTTTTAAAACTTATTCACCGTTCTCTTGATGGTTCTTGACTGGACTTTGACGATGGAAGCTAGAGTATGAATGTTGATACAATTACTGAAGGCCTGAATGAACATTTTCCTCTCACCATTGTTTACTTGCGAAGACATAGTGTGGCTGACACAAAACGATTTTCAACTGTTCCCTTTCTAGCTGAATAACTCAAAGGGGTTTTCCGGGATTCTTACGACAAATGGTGTCAAGATTGCTAAACGTTTAATCTGAAAACCTAGTAAAAAAAACTTGAGTAGTTTAGTTTATTTTTAGATATTAAACATTTTGTGGATGGACAATTATGCCATTATACCCAGTATATATAATTTTTCAGGGAAATTACTTTCTCTTGTCTAGTATCGGTTATCCCACTTTCCAATGTAGATGGGGTTTTCCATTATAATCTTTTGCTTGAAGTAGTATTATTGATTCATTCATTCAGTTTTTTTTTTTGTTATATTCAAGTACTTTCGACTATCACTGTCATTAACAAGAACCTTGTTTTATCAATACAGTAAGCAATATTTAATATGACTAAATTCTGTCATTTTTAGAATGCTGGAATTTGAACAGGTTCCAGCTCCATTTCGGGATGAATGCTAGTCCAAGTTGGAGGACATCGGCTGCGGTTTGGCTTGGAGAGCGGACGTTCTCCGCCAAGTCTACTTGCTCGAGACACGCTACACATGGTGATTTTCTAAGCGTAGCTTAGATGCGGCACAAGGCTGAAATTGTGAGGCACCCAGTGTGGACCGAACTCACTACTCGGTCGTAATTTTTCTAGCGAGACAAGCTTGCTATTACACCACGCCGAGGTACCCAAAGACAAGTTACACATGAATAAATACCTCTCCGACTTTCAACACAGATATGTGGACAGAATTAGGTGTACAGCTGCGCAGTGACCCTACAACCACAACCGGTCATGGGGGCTAATGATGATTATCTATGATAGAATATATAATTATTGCAACATGTTATAAGGTAGAAAAAGGTGAGATTTCTCTTTTGAAGGTGATGGAGAAGACATGTTATGGCGAAATTGAAAATTAAAACAGATTTGAAGTGCTTGATTGAAAAGCAACTCGTACTTTGTATTAATTTCTAATTAGTACTGAATAGAATATTGTCTTATTTAAAATTACACTAATCTCAAAGCTTCATTATTATTCTTTGTTATACACCGTACCTATGAACACTAATGGGTGTGTCCCAACCCTCATAAATACGTTGAACAACTATTGTAAGTAGGGGTAATATGCTGTCTAAGTAGTCCCCCACTAGCAGTGGTTTACCTACTTCACGCCGCTGGCGAGTATTGTATTTTGTTGATGTTATAAAGATTACCATTTCATTGCCGACCTCCTTTTTGGTTATTCCTCATTGGTTATTCCTCATTCGGTAAATCTCTCTAGGTTGTAACACATTCACTTTATGCAACTTGAAGCGTTAGGTTTTAAACAGATGGCTATTTACAGCTATTACTGTCTTCATTGTTAGCTTTTTCTTCTTCTGAATTTTCTGTAATCTAGCAAATATCTTGAACAACTGATATTATAGCAGAAGTTACAAATTCGAGATTAATCTCACAGAGAAAAGAACAATATACCGCCTTCAAACTCGAGTTTTTTCGGAAACTATTTTTTTTATCCAAGGTCTTATAATCTTGGTACTTGAGACATAGTCTAGAACCTTTCGAGACTAGTACCAATGATCTAAAAACGAAGCTCACCCAGTTTAATGGGATGGAATAAATGTTGGAAAATTGTATTTTAATGTTTTTGAATTCATCGTCCTTCTTTTTCTTCTTTTTTTTACAAAAGTTGTTTAATTTGCTGACGCATTTTCACCAAATAAAAATCTCAAAATGACTGTTGTTTGAACACAAAAGTTAATAAGGACGCACATCTCGCACGCCCATTTTGCATCTGCGTTCCTCTTTTGGTTACATATAACGCCATCAAGTCAACGATTTCTCCCGCTATCACAACAAACTCTGCGTATTTTATGATCGTACACAATTTTTGCCTTCATTTTTGTTTCTTATTTTTGTATTTTACTTTTGTTCTTTCTTTATATAAATTTCTTTCTAACTTCATTGTTTTTGTTTTTTTTGTTTTTTGTTTTTTTTTGTTATCTTTGCTCATTTAAACATTTTTCCTCGCACGTTGCACTTCTTTTTATCGTCTGCTCGTTTCATTTCTGTTTATCGTCTGTTCGTTTCATTTCTTTTTACTTCTTTCTTCTACTCTTCATTCTTTATTTCTTTACTTCCTTCATTTCTTTCTTGTACTTATGTTTCTTTCGTTTATTTTCTTCCGTCCTTTTTTCTTCCTTCCTAAGGTATTTCTTCTTTGTTTATCTTCCTCGCTTAATTCGTTTTTTTCTTTCTATTCATTTGTCTTTATTTCATTATTTTCTCTTTGTTTTTACATACCTTACTTTCATTATTTCATTCTTTCTTCCTTTTTTTTATTTTACAGTTTTTCTTTGCTTTTTCACCTTCTACTTCTCTTCCTTTTTTGTCACAATTATTTCTTAACCTTCTCAATAGCTTTTTGTTGATGTCGTTACTTGCGTTGCTATTCTTGATTTTTCAGGTTTTTTTCTCATCGTTCCATGTTTATTTTTTTGTCTTGGCTAATTTTTTTTCTTTTTCTTTTCTTCATTCTATTCATTTTCTTTCTTACTTTCTTTCTAGAAACTTTTCGTTTATTTCTTTGTCTCCGCTATTTTTGTTTTTCTTTTCTTCAATTATACTTTTCTTCCTTTTTTCATTTCTTTTTTACTTACTTTCTGTCCCATTCTTTCTTTCTTTCTGTCTGTTTGTCTTTCTTTCTTTCTCCACAAGTTCTATGTATTCACTATTTTTCTTTCTTTTGTATGTGTTCTCATTATCCACATTCTCTCTCTCTGTTTGATTTACCCTGGTCACTGATATGAAAACAAGCAGCAAATATACGAAAAAGTGACAAGGTCATTTATATTATTATTTCTATCATTATATATATTCCTAAATTGTATCGCCGTTGAACAGTGGTTAACAAGTTAGCAACAACGTCCATTACTTCGAATCTCACTGGATGCCCTACATTTGTGGCTTTCTTCTTCTTCTTCTTCTTCTTCTTCTTCTTCTTCTTCTTCTTCTTCTTCTTCCACTTCTATCTGCCGTGTCTCTTCAGGAGGTGAGCGATCGTAGCTCTCCACAACTTCCTATCCTTCGTAGCTGTTAGAAATGATTTTTTATTATCCCTTCTCATCCCTGTGCTGCCGCCATTCATTTACACAAGCTTATTATGTAGGTTACTCTGCGCTTTTCTCCATCTTTCCTACCTTCGATATGCATTGTACGTTATCAAATTATCCAAGCCATTTTAACTCATTATGTGCCCCAGAAATTTAAATTGTCTCATGCCGATCCTAAGAATAAAAATTCTTTTTGTTATCATTTTTCTTATAACTACCTAGTTGTTCACATGTCCCATCCATGGTATTCTCATCATCATTCTTTAGAACCACAGTTACATTTGGTAAATAAATTTTAAATCCACTAGGCCTAGTCGGTTCGTGAATTTGGTTACATAGTGGTTCTGAGTTCAGTCCCTGGATCGGGAAGTGGGTACTTGTACTCAGTGAAAATGGACGAGCGATAACTGAACAGTACTAAATAAAATAAAAACTAAACGATATAGACAGTGGAACGAGAACAATCTAACCCTGTAGATTAAATAAAGGGTTCAGTTCATAATTCCCCGTAGGCTACCCAGATCGGTATGCACCTAAAGATCGAGGACAGAATTGTCGAAACGTTGTAATAACAACAACAAAGATAAGGACAATATTCTGAATGTAAATAGTGTAAATAATGATAACTCTTCATCAAGAAGAAAGTTTTTTATTTCATTTACTTCTCTTTCTTGTTTTGTTTTGTTTTTTTTCTTTTTATTTACGTTATATATTTATTCATTTTTTCTAAGTCTTCGTTTTAACCCCTTCCCCCCACCCCCGCCAATTATTTTGGGAAGAACGTTTCATTTTCAGACGATTTTTTTTATTATTTGTTTTTAATATAGTAAGAAACTGAGGTACCTTGAAGTACCCGAGCTGAGGCGAACACCTGTACCAGGAATATGACTTAACAAGTAGACTCATTTCAAGCTCACAAGAACATAAAAAAAAAATCAAGATCGACGTATAAACACGTCCGTAGGTAGTTTTTGAATGTCATGTTTTAGACATGTTTATTCGTCCGTGTCTAAAAAAAACACTTTTAGTTAAAAAAAAACAAAACGTATATACACGTTTATGCTTGGGAAGAGGTTAAAACATTTTATAAATTTTCATTTGCTTCAACTTTCATTTCTTTTAGTGCGTGTTCTTTCTTCCTTTTTAAATTCATTGTCTTTTGTTTTTACTTCACTCTTATTTTTTCATCCTTCTCACCTTCAGTTTTCCGTATTTTTTCGTCCTCCTCACCTTCAATTTTCCGCATTTTTTCGTCCTTCTCACCTTCAATTTTCCGCATTTTTTCCAATCACAACTATTTTCTCTCTTTTTTATTATCTTTTCTCATTTTTCATTTCTTTTTTTCTAAATTTGTTTTTTTTTGTCTCATTCTTCTTCCTTTCTAAATATATTTTTCTTCTTTCTCGCTATCATTCTTTCTTTATATCAGTCTACTTTTCTTTCTTTATCTCTTTAGTTCTTTCTTATTTTCTCAATCGTTTTTCTTTCTTTATCACTATCATTTATTCATTCATTTTTCCTTTTCTCCAGTTTGTTTTTTCTTTCTTTCTCACTGTCGTTTATTTATTCATCCTTTTTTTTTGTCTTTCTTTCGCGGTAGTTTTTTTTTATTCTCACGCTGTTTTTTTTTTTAATTTTTTCAGTCAGTTTCTATTTCAGTCTCATAGCCATTCATTCTTTCTTTCTGAGTCTATTTTACTTTCTTTCACAGTGTCATTCATTCATTGTTTCTTTCTTAATCTATTTTTCTTTATTCAGTTCTCATCTGTTTTTATTTCTTTCTCAGTCATTCATCCTTTATTTTTCAATCTTTCATTCTTTCTCACTCTCATTCATTCTTTCTCAATCGGTTTTCTTTCTTTTTAAATCAGTTTTTCTTTCTTTCTTCCTTCAATTTCTATCTATTCTTCCTTGTTTTAACTTTCTTTCACTTGCTTCATTTTTCTTTTTTACTTTGATTATATTTTCTTCCTTTTTCCAAACTTTCTTGCTGTTTAGTCTTTTTTTTTTTTCATGCGTGCTTTTTTAGGTATTTTTTTTTGTTTTGTTTTTTTGTTTTTTGTTTTTTGGCTTTTTTTTAACCAGAACGACGTAAAGAATCAGTGGAACGGGTCAGAGTTAAAAAAAAAAAAAAAAAAAAAAAAGAAAAAAGAAAATTAAATAAATAAAAGCAGAAGAAGAGAGAAGTAAAGAAGAGATAGACAGAGTAATCTGCCCTTAGCTTAATTGCTGCTGACAACCCATAATTTCTAGGCGTTTTATTGGCTAATAAATTGTTCTGATTCAATCTCCTTCCACCAGTTCTCGCTGCAAAAGACACTTCGACGGCTACCCCTTCCCTCAACAACCAACCATCGAATAAATATTATCCTATTAGTGGGCAAAATGTATAATTTATCATTAAAAACAAGCGAAAAGGGGCCAGGAAAATGGCGGAAGAAGAAAGGCAGGAAAAAAAAGAGAACTAGATGACGGCGAAAAGGCGCAGAGAACAGAAAAAGGGGGAATGACAAGGGTGGAAAGGCGTAAAGAGATCATAAAATCGTCAGAGTAAAAGGTGTAAGAATAAAATCCGAGTTAAAATATATAGAAATAAGCAAAGAAATAAATACAAAAGAGAAAATAGCATTATAACCTATGATTTTAAAATGCCGTATTTGTCTTGCTATAAGATTCGCTTTTTTAATGGTAAAAGTATCCAAATTTTATATTCTATTCAAAGTTTGTGCACTCTAGACCAAGGACAACTGGCAAAAAAATTGTGTTGTCTACAATGTCAGAATTGGCTTTGGCTAGCAATTGTACAAAAGTTCCCTTATAAAACATGGGTCTTACTGTAATGGTAATGATAATATTAGCCGCTTCCCTATAAGGAAACCTTCGATATTCATTGACTGAACAGTAATTGTTTCTCGAGTGACACTTTTCTTCACTTGTCCATCAGACTATGATCAGCGTGTAGTATATGTTCTCCTCATGTGTAATGGTAATATTAACTGTTCTCTTGTAAGGAAACATTTGGCATTCGTTAACACAGCAGCCAGTGCTACTCAAGTTACACGTTTCTTAAACTTGTGACCATAGGGCCGGCATCAAGGTGTAGTATCTGTTCTCCTCATGGTAATGGTAATATTAACTGTTCCCTTATAAGGAAGCATTCGGTAGACATTGACCGAGCAGCCATGTCGATTAAAATTTATAAAAGTTTTCTATTAAAAGAGTTTTTCAGGAAAATAAGTTTCGCTGTTATCGCTTTTTCTATTAGTTCTGGAGACTCCTAACCTTCTTTTTGAAATAGTGTGAAACGCCAACTTCTTGATTATGTTATTATTTTCTCTTCAGGTTACGTGTTCTATCCATTTTAGTTGTTGCCGCTGTTGAAAGTCAAGTGAAATGTTTTCTATTATTTGATACAGTTCTTTGTGATTCTGTAGCGCCAGACCCCAAGGTTCGAAGAAGAATGAACCTCGCTGCCATTTTTAAAAGCTATTTTAATCGTTGATCTGATAATGCGGTTGTATACAGTTTAGATATTTCCCAAAGGGTCTGGTACCATGCATAACAAACATATGAAATACACGATTTGACGTTGTTATTTAATATCGAGGGCTACCAAAGATGGTTCGTACTGATCAACAAGGCACAAACACATTATGAATGGAAGAATCGAGTTTCATATCCCGGTCGGTAAACACATTCCGCACACCATTTTCAATTCTCATCGGAGAGCCACTACTGGATCTGTCTGCTAATTCCAGTTAAATAAAGAGTTTAGGTCACTGCATCGTGAAATAACAGTCAAGAAACTAGCCTCTCATCTCTCATATATATATATATATATATATATATATATATATATAGTCGCACTGAGGAGCTGTGATACAGCGAAACAGTACCGTCTGCGAATATATATATATATATATATATATATATATATATATATATATATATATATATTTAAACATATATAGGTAAATATAACAGACAAAGAATGTCTATTAAGTCTGATAATCAGCGTTCTAATATTCGTATGTTTGCTTTAATTTCGGGTGAAAATAAAGACAAAAATTGTCCAACATTTGGATATTTTTTATTATGTTGATGCATGATCTAATCTTTAGGCTGACATGAGCCATCTTCAGAGTGGTCATACGGACATTTTAACAAAGTTATTCACCATCGAATATTGTATTTTGTTATGTTGACATGGAAGATTGCTATGCAACGATAACGGTCGCAGAATAGCAGACGCAGTTCGTAAGTTCAAGATGCGGTTCTATGACGTCATGCCACGCGAGAGGTCAAAATATTAACAACAGAAATGTAATTATGTTGAGTCTGGGTTTTCACCCAAAATTAAAGCAAACATACGAACATTTGACCGGCTCATGATCAAACATAATAGACATTCATTGTCTGTTATATATAACAATATATGTTTGAATTGAACTGCTGTCCCAATACATTATATATATATATATATATATATATATATATATATATATATAAAAACATGTAAATGCTGCAAGAACATGAACATTACATTGACCAAAACGGCCGAGCACTGCGACAAAGAATAAAAGTTCATCGCCAACAAATAAAATTACCTCTTAACCAACATATAGAGGAATGCAGAGGACAAAATGTGCAAAATTTTAATATCTTCCCATTCTACCAATGCGACTACAAAGAAACATTTTTTTATCAGCAAGTTTAAACAAATACTCAATTCATTACATAAACCAGAGGCACGTCCCTCAAAATAGATTCTATCATATTTTCCTTACATAAACGACAGTTACGCCCCTTGATTTTTTTCTCTTATTCAAGTCATGAGTCGACACGTGGGAATATAAACATTTACAAAATTTTTGAAACGCTAAAAGCGAAACCGGCTGAAGTAAAACTTTTTTTTAAACCCCACATGTAAGTAAAACAGTTTTAATAATTTTCTGTAAACATACATGCAGTATAAATATTACATATAAATAAATATAAACATTAAGTGATTTTCCAAATCTTATTTTCTCTCTCTCTCTCTTTCTTTCTTTCTTTCTCTCTCTCTCTCTCTCTCTCTCTCTCTCTCTCTCAAGGTAGAAGGTTACTGAATAAGATATGTGACATGAACACAAGAGGAGGAAGCATGAAGCGAAGTCTACGAGGATAGGGAGGATAGATAACAATTGGCGCCAGACTTGACGATATTACGATTGTATTTTCGGAGAAGCATCTCCACAGTAGTGTTCCACAAAGTAACGGTTCTTGGGAAGAAGCTGTCTAGGTGGAACTTCAGTCTTACAAATTACATACGGGGGGAATGAGAGTGATTCAACCATGCGGATGCAGCAAGGTACCTCTTAGCTCTAAAGATTTTAACTAATTCACTAACGAATAGAACTAGCGGGAACATTTGTCATGGAGGTGGCTACAGTGGTTTGTGCCACACTAAAACAGAAATAATTAAATAAGTACGGGATCTGTGTGTAGCGGAACTGTTATCGGCACGGAAACTGAAATCGGCAAGACGAGTTCAAACCCCGGCTTAGCCTGCTGCATTGACTTTCATCCTTGACAAAAACATAAATCCGTCTGTTCTCCCCCTATCTATCGGTTAAATAGTAGGATACACCTGGTTCTGTAGGTTTGGGTGTTAACCATAGCAAAGGACTACTCTGATTTCGAAACTGGGTCTGAATGAATCGAGTAAACACTCTAATATCTTTCCCATGAAGTCTTGGCATTTCCGAGATCATAAAGAAGAGGAATCTGTGGAGAGCTATGATCGGCTACCTCCTGAAGAAACATAGCAAAAAAGAAAAGATAAGAATATATATGAATGAGAGGATCATCGGGATTATCGAAGACCTCAATATCCAGATCCCTGGCATAAGATCTGCAAAAAGCGAATTATTGTTGATTTTTCTCTAAGAATATTCCTTCATTACATGCCATACCCGATTCACGCTTGGACGATTATGTCTCTTTTCGATTCATGATTGACTTGGCAGAAGAATTTCCACATTAGGCTACCGTTACTTTCAGTGATAGACTGGTTGTCAATCAAGGCTATAGGACCCAGTCTGTCTTGGCATTGAACCCATAGCTGGGGTTACGAATATCACGACTACTTACAGAGTTCAATGTGTTTGCAGAATAGCTGAAGGGTTGTTCTTTTCTAGGGTTCCATCAAAGAAACTATTCTTCTTCTTCTTCTTCTTCTTCTTCTTCTTCTTCTTCTTCTTCTTCTTCCTCCTCCTCCTCCTCCTCCTCGTCATAACATGTAGTGAAATTAATCAATCTTCATCTGATTATTGGAGACTTTAAAAAATGATGGATAAATATGAATATTAGTGTTTGTGTCTTTTTTATATTATACTCTTAGTCTGCCTGGATTCTATCCTCTTGGGAATTTATATATATATATATATATATATATATATATATATATATATATAGATAGATAGATAGATAGATAGATAGATGGATAGATAGATAGCACTAATTTTATAGATAGATAGATAGATAGATAGATAGATAGATAGCAGAATATTCCTTAATTCCTTAATAGTTTATCCCAACTTTCGTAACTAATCTTATGATAGATAGATAGATAGATAGATAGATAGATAGATAGATAGATAGATAGATAGATATTAACACAGTAATCTGTGAGAGTATTCCTTATTTGTGCCAAATGAAAAGCATTAAAAACAGAATTTCGAATGCGAATGTTCATGGCAGGAATGACTATTCACTTCATTTAGAAACTTGAGGCAAAACAATCTTCCTTGCTCCATCTGTACTCGTTTGTTTTCAACTTTGGTCAACTTTTAAAGAACAACGAAAAAGAAGAAAAAATTCTTAGGTAGAAATGGCAGGGTGCCCTTTAGATCTTGAAATCTATCCGACATTTTTTAATGTCCTTTTTTTTTATATTTTTTTTTCTTTTTTCTATCCAAGAGTTTGTTTGCTTTTCTAATATACTTCCTGCAGTGAGTTCGTTGCTAACTCCTACCTGACCTCTGTCTTGTTGCGCCAGCGATCGTCGAAGGGAGAAATGACCTTCTCTCGTAAAAGTAAAAGGACATTTGTTTCTCGTTTACGATAATACTTCTCTTTTTCTTTCTTTCTTTTTATTTCGCTCAATTACATATTCTTCTTTGCGCCAGGGTGGGAAGTTCGAAGTGTGCTTTTCACCTTCGTGCCACGCCTCTTTTGATCCGGGTACAAAATAGAAAAGACACAAAGGGTATTTTCAAAGAAGGTGTGCCTATCACCCGCTGTTACCAACGCTTTCCCACCCAGATTTTCGGCTAAAGACCAGAGACCTTGGTTCAAAGCGAAACAAAAAAAATATATTACAATGGGGGAAAGTCATTGTCTTTGCTGGGGGGTGGGGTAACATTTTACTGTTTGGTGCTGTTTATGATTGATTGATTTGATGTTTGCCTTAAGAAAATAAAAATAAAAGTCCTGCATTTTTATTTAAATCAATTTGGTTAAATGGTTAATTTTCAGTTTTCCTCTTGTGGAATGTGTCCAAATATATTTGCATCTGTCTAGTTTACACATGGCGACAAAAGGACAAAACAAGAAGCATAAGACGAACAAACTCCCCTGTCTTTTGAACAGAAATAGCGGTTTATCCTTTGTTTCCTGTTTAGGATTGGGTTTACGGTTCTTTCTAAATTCTATTTCAACTCTTAAATTTTATTTACAATTTTTCCCTTCAATAGGAGTAGATAGGTTTGGCTATCGTCCGGTTCACACTCCTCCATGGTTTTTATGTGCATACGTCCTGAAGGGACACAGCACATAGAAGTAGAATACTTTAAGTATTGAATATATGGCCTCAAAGTGATATTTTGCTTCAACCCTATATTTCTGGTAGTAGTGTCACAAGCATGGAGCATCCGATGAGGATCGAACTCACTACTCAGTCGTAATTGTTCTAGCGAGACAAGGTTGCTAACCATTGCACCTCAAGATTAAAGAGTACGGCGCTCGATGGAGGTCAGTTTTTGCTGACTTTTCGTGATTTATACCGTATATACTTAAATATAATTCGAGTTTTATTATCGGTATTTATTTTTTTTTTACGCAAAAAATATGGGGTCTCACTATACACCGGTAATATTTTTTGAAGACGTTAAAATCATGCATTTTCAGTTACCGGTTGCACTATACACAGGTAATTTTTTCTGGATGTTTAAATTCTAAATGTTAAATTCGGTGATCGTAATTTTCTTGGTTGGCCTTTATTGTCACGGAACCTTTGGCTAAACTTAACGGTACAGGTAAGCCGTAGCCTAGATTCTTTCTCTCTATTGCTATATGAACAGCAGAACGTCATTCCCTATGCGGACCAATTAAAATCTACAAATATCTTATATAGATGAATAATTAACAAGATTTTTCTTCCTTTCGCCAATTGGCGTTTATCTTCGTTCGCACGTGTTTATATCACTGAGGAATTACTTTTCCAACAACCCCATTTTTGTCTGATACTCATCTGTACCGTGTATGTTTCCTTTTGTGTTCCTTATCCTGTCTTCATTTATATTTATTTTTATGGATTATATTCTTGACATTTACTGGTATTATTTATACAAAAGAGAATGAAAAACCATTTATTTGCTATAAAATATGTCCACGATGATGTCCAACACTACAATATTTGTTTACAGTAGACTTATTAGTAATCCTTTGAAGTTATGGGATTTGCATAATGAGTGGTTTATTGTGGTTTATTGAATTAATATGATTAATATTATTATATTGACTTCTTCTAATCTAGCAAAAATGGATAATCCTGCTTGCTCCTCGGATCAAAATCAGACGATTATCTCTAATACCACCAATAAAATAACTAGTCGGAAAACTGTCTTACAAACATTTTTATTAATAAATTTATTTATAAGTAAGAGGGTAGACATGAAAAGATTTGAAATTGACACTTCTTTCCATTTCACTCAAATAGACTTTAAACACTTCTATCTTCCCTTCTTTATTTCTTGCCTACTTTCATTTTTTTCACTGAAACCAAGTAGCGTCTCTGATGTCAGTTTTTTCACTCGTGTTCATTTCATTCGTGTTTTTACTCAGTCGAAACAGAATAGTCCCTTGTTTATGAGATATTAGCAGGGCGTAACGGTAGTGTGAACTAACTAAGGAACTAACTAACGAAGGGGGTTTGAATGTCTGTTTTCCAGTCATGAAACCCGAGTTCGAATCTCAGCATGGTCGATTTGTCAAGGTGACTTCTTTATGTTATCAGTCTGGGAGAGGCGATCTCAGTGTGTGGCACTTTTGTGCCTGAAAATCATACCACGGGTTGACCCAAGCCTCGTGTATGAAATTAGGTAGATGGAACTATTCAGAAACATGAAGTAATTAGTCATTGATAGGAGAGAGTTTGTGATAATGAAAAATTATGCTCTCTCTCACTCTTTCTCTCTCTATCTATCTATCTATCTATATATATATATATATATATATATATATATATATATATATATATATATATCAACCTGTAACTAATATCCGCTCAGCATAGCTGCAGTATAAACCACAGGTGAGCACTATGGCTGTTGAACAAATGCAAATGTACCTGCAGTAGGTGTCCGAGACAGGAATTATCCACTCGCACAAACAGATGAGAGTGATCGAAAAACGAGTAACTAGCCATTGTATATATTATAAACTCTCTCGTCGTTTTCAGCTCCGAAAACTGAACAGCCAGTCTTTCCCGCCGTACATATGATAATTATCCGGGTGAAGGCTTGTACAAAACCATCCACACTTTTCGGAAGAACTGAATACATAATAATTCTCTCTCGATCTCTGACTACTACTCCCTCGATCTTTTCTATATAGTCTCTCTCTCTCTCTCTCTCTCTCTCTCTCTCTCTCTCTCTCTCTCTCTCGTACAATCTGCCAATCTGTACTCGCAGTGAAATACATTTTAACTTAATCACCTGTAAGACTATACTATAAAGAAACCAACATCAAATGAGAAATAGGTTTATATCAAAAGACATAACACCTACAATAGATTATCCACAAACTACATCTATCAAATATACTTTTATCTTGAAAGTATAAAGTGATGTACAAAATATCTGTAGTTGAAAGCCTATTTAGTTGAAGACATTAAATTATGTATAAAATATTTAGATTTCAGCATTACATAACCCATAGAGTTATTGATATGCCGCTAGACAATCAACCAAACAGCCAACATGAAAGAACTCTTTCATTAATTTAATCCATATAATATCCTACAGTTTCTTAAGGAAATCAAACTGCATTCCAAAATATAACTTCAGCAAAGCTACAACATAAGTGATTTTCCAAGCGTAGCTTAGAATTGGCACAAGGCCGAAAGTAGCGACACCCAGTGAGGATTGAACTCACTACTCAGTCGTAATTGTTCTAGCGAGACAAGCTTGCTAAAAATTACACTACATCGAGGTGCCCCAAAGCTACAACATAAAATACACATATCACTGCATCTAGTAATCATGTCCACACAAACCTGTATACGCACAAAAGCTGCGTATCATCTACCATGTACTCAACTGTGAAAGCAGAATAATATATATCATATTTTTATTACTTCACAGCTCGCAAGAAAATTAAATTGCGTCATTAAATGACTCATAAGGAGTTGATATGCTATTAAACAAATCAAATCAATAAATAATTGTTTTTGAACAGATGCGAATGACAGCCAAAGGAACTAATAGCAGTGAAAAGAAGAACAAGAGGAACTACAGTAGGAAAAATAATGGTAAAGAAATAAAAAAAGAATATAGAAAGAAGAAAATAACAAGTAAAAGAAGAAAATTAAAAAGAGGAAATAAAGATTATGATGTATAAAAAGAAAAAATCAAAATGAAGAATGTGTGAGAAAAGAAAACTCATATAAAAAAAAGAAAAGAAAAGAGAGGCGAAAAGAATAACAACATTATAGGAAAAAAGAAAAGGATGAAAAATACAAACGAAAAAAAAGAGATATGGAAGAAGAAAATGTTTGTGATATTTGGAAGAAGATAAAGGAAAAAATCAAGAATGTATATAGAAGAAGAAGAAAAAAGAAACGAAGGTCTAAGAAAAACAGTAGAGGTTGGTAGAAAATCAGAAGCCTCATATGCGAAAGAATGCGATTAAGAAAAAAATAGGAAACAAAAAAAAGGACAGAAAAAAAACGAAAAGTAAGAAAAATAAGACAACATTTTCTGATTTATGAAGCAAAGAACAAGGAGGCTCTGTTAC